AATGATGTCAGTTTGAAGACTAAGGTGTGCCTGATTCAAGCCATGGTCTTTTTCCTCCAATCACCAGCTATGCATCTGAAAGCTGGACAATGAATAATGATGACAGAAAAAGAATTGATGCCTCTGAACTGTGATGCTGGAGAAGAGTACTGAATATCCCATGGTAGTCAAAAGAACAAAACAGATATGTCTTGGAGAAGATGCAACTAGAGTGCTCCTTGGAGGCAAAGATTGTAAAGCTTCACCTCACATACAATGGGCATGTTGCCAGGAGAGGTTATTCTTTGGAGAGGGACATCCTGCTTGAAAAGGTGGAGGGTCACCAAAGGAGAGAAAGACCCATGTCAAGATGAATTGACACAGTGACTGCAGCAATGAGCTCAAGTATGTCAGAGATGATGAAGACAGCCCAGATAAAACAGGATTCAGATCTGCTCTTCAGAGGGTTGCTTGCTGTAAGTCATACTTGACTTGATAGCACCTAACAACAACATATCTAATTAAATAATTGAGTTTCCCGTTGGAAAACGGTAGAGAATCTCACATTTTCATGCTTTTAAAAAAATATAAAAGTCTGTGTAGTGGTCGCTATCATAAAATAAGTATCATTTTAAAAAATTCAGAAACTTTATATTTGATGAACATACCTTAATATAATGCTGTGTTGAAAATGTCATAGATAGTAGTAATATCTGAGCTATGTTTAGAAACACATAGGAAAAGACTAACGAAACTATGCTAAATTGTTTTCTCTTGGATAGGATAATGGACAATTAAAGATATCTACTTCTTTTTATCTTTTACGTTATATCCTTTTGTTATATATGAATATACATTATTTTTGTAGTTGGAAGACAGTAAAGTTAAGGGTTCAACACTATGTTGGTATGCTTTGAAGCTTGTTACCTTTACACACAACCAAATTATTGGGACCTCACATTATTAATGAAGAAAACTCTTTGGTTCCCTGGATTTTTCAGGTCTCTTGGGAGTCCTGTCTCAGTGGCTGCAACAAGTCAGACACAAACTCTCCAAGGAATCATAACAAGCTGACAGAGATGTGCAGTCAGGAGAAAAGTGAGAAACGAAATAGAGACATTAACATGTTCATGGTTATAATATGAAGTTTTTGAAAGGAGGGCTCCTGCAGTGTACCAGTAGGACTAGAACAAAGTCATCTTTGTGATAGGACAGTCCTTTGCTTCTACTTTCATAGTCCTACATTTATGTGTTAGGCACACTGGACCAGGAAATGCACAGACTTTAAAATACAGCACATCCACATTTATTGAGCATTCTGTGTCACAGTCATTTACAATTAAATTACTATTGAGTACGACCTCGACCTCAATTCCTGTCCACTGACATGAACATCAATACAGTATTGAAGGGGAAAGTGGCTGGAACACATGGTGATGTTATTTTCCCAAAGGCAAGGACGAGGTCTTTAGATCTCCTAGGACACTGTGACTTGGCAAGTAGAGCAGAGGCAAGTGGCGGATGGTGAGGAAAGTGACAGCTACACAAGATGCTTCCAAGGGGCCTGCTCACATAGGACAGGGTTCTAGGCCAAGAAACGCGCAACTTCTTTTGCAGCACAGATTTGAAGAATGCCTAAATTCTACCTCTTACTACCTTGCTGGAAACTGTGACTTGTTTTCTTTCATGGCCTATTTTTTGTGCTCTTGCTAGTGATTAAAGGTTGCAACTGTGCTTCATGGGAGCTTGGTGTCCTCCCGGAAAGGAGCTGCGCTGCCAACTCAAAGGCAGGTGGTTTAAATCCATCAGCTGCTCCTGTGCAATTTACTGCCTCCGAAAACCTGCTGGAGGGTCAGCTATGAGTTGGTTCTGACGCGATAGTACACAACAACTACTACTATAAGAACTGTGCTTCATATACATGTGAAAGTTGAACGATTACTAAGGAAGACTGTTGAAGAATTGCTATCATTGTATTGTGGTGCTTGTGAATAATCCTGAATATACCAAGGACTGCCAAAAATCCAAACAAGTATCTCTTGCAGGAAAGGCAGCCAGAAGGATCGCTCCTTAGACGCAAAGATGGTGACACTTTGTGTCACATACTTTTGGCATGGTATCAAGAAGTGCCCTAGAGACATCATGCTTGGGAAATCTGAGGGTTGGCAAACGAGATTAATGGACACAGTGGCTCCAACACTAGGTCTGAGTGCAGCAGATATTGCAAGGATGGTGGAGGACTGAGCAGGGTTTCGTCCTGTTGTATTTAGGATAGCTACATGAGTCAGGGACAACCCTCCTACATCTAACAGCACCACCAGTGTGGTGGATGAGTGAAGCCCCCCAGCCAGACAGTGGAAGGTTCAAATCCTGCCTCTGTGCAGCCAAGGACAAATACGTAAACTCTCTGTCTTGGTTTATGTATACTATGCCACCATTATTCCTCATTTGGGTTACAGTAACTGTATTACTATCCTAGCTGGTCTTCCTGTTCTCATTCTTGCTCCCTTCCAGTCTATTTCCTATGTAACAGTCCCAATTATTTCTCTGAAAATCTGCGTCACGTCATGTTACTGTTGTGTTCAAAATCCTTCAAAGGCTTTTGCAGTGTGAAAACGAAAATGTTTATAATGGTTGTAAGGCCTCCATGTGACCTCTCCTGGGTACCAGTCTGATCTCATCACCTACCATTTTACCTGTCACTCAAGCTGACCCCTACCCCAGAGTTTTGGTTCAACAGATCTGCAATGAGGCTTCAGAATTTTCCTTTGTAACAAGTTCCCAGGAAATGCTGTTGTCAGTTTGAGGATGACCGCTTCTGAAAACCAGTGAAGAAGCCAGTAAATGGCTTTTATATTTTATAAATATCTCAGACACATTTCTGTTTTACGGATTTTAGATTTAGTCTTCCCTCTGCCTGAAAGGTTTAGCTCAAAGCACAGTATTCTTGCTCTGTTATAAGAGCAAATGGGTGGTGCAAATGATTAATGAACTCAGCTGCTGGCCAAAAGTTTGGAGGTTTGGATCTACCTAGAGGTACTTTGGTGACCTAATAGTAAGAAGTTGTGCTGCAATCCCACAGGCATGCAGTTCAAATCCACCAACTGCTCTGAGACAGAAAGAAGGACAATCTCTCCACCAACTGCTCTGAGACAGAAAGAAGGGCAATCTCCTCTCATGTGATTAACTGCCTCTAAAAACCCACTGGAGGGTCAGCAATGGGTTGGTTCTGACAATGGTACACAACAACAGCAGAGGCACCTTAGAAGAAAAGCCTGGCAATCTCTTTCCGAAAAGTCGGCCACAGAAAAGCCCGCGGAGTTCTCACACACGGGGACTGTTTTGCATTCTATTTTTCTTGGTTTTGCTCCCCTTATCTCCAGCAATGTCCTATTTTTAATGAAATCCTCGCTGACAATCCTGTTAAAAATGGTTCCCTACTCCTGGCATTCTCAAATATCTAATTTTTATGTTCTCCCCAAGTTGCCTGTGACTTATAGCAACCCTATGAACAATAGCTCTGAACCCTGCCCTATCCTGAGGCAATCTCACTGTCTCTAACACATCTACCACCATTATGCCAGTTAGTCAATCCATCTCATCTGGGGTCTTCCTCACCTGTGCTATCCCTCCAACCTTGCAAGCATGATGTTCTTCTCCAAGGACTGGTACCTCCTGGAAACATGCCTAAAGTACACTAGATGGAGCTTTAAAATCCTTGCCTCCAAGGAGCAACTTGGTTTCACCCTCTCCAGGACAGACTTATTTATTCTCTTGGCAGTCCATGGTACATTTAATACTCTTCTCCAGCACCACAGTAAAAAGGCATTCATTCTTCTTCTATCTCTTGGTCATTGTCTAGTTTTCTGATGCATAGTAAGTAATTGTGAAGACTTGGAACAGGCACACCTTAGTCTCTATAGACCGATATGGTTGGTCTTCAGTACTCTGGAGTGGTTCCTGACAGATTTTCCCAATGCAATCTGTCTTTTGATTTCCTGACTGCTAGTGTCAGGAGTGTTGACTGTGGAACCAAGCAAGCTGAAGTTGTTATTCTCAATCTCTTCTCCATCTGTCATGATGCTGCCAATTGGCCCAGTGGTGAGATCTTTGTTTTCCTGATGTTGAGCTTCAACCCACATTGAAGACCACAGTCCTTGACCTTCTGTAGCAAACATCACAGGTCATCATGTTTTATGTAAGGAGCCCTGGTGGCATAGAGTGTTATGTTTTCAGCTAATAAACCTAAAGGATGGCAGCTTGAATCTACCAGCTGCTCCATGAGAGAAAGATGAGTCTGTTCTAGTTTAGATTTACAAGGGCTGGAATAGATTTGATGACAGTGAGTTTTAGTTTATGTTTTACTTGTCTTGTTCCCCTAGATTATTAGCTAGCTCCATGAGGCAAGGCTAGGATTTGTCTGATCTATTATTTTATATGTACCACCTAAAATAATGCCTGGCTGGCATAGAGAATGATAATCAATAAATATTAGATGCTTCAATCTGTACAATGGGATAATGACATTAATAAGAGAACCAAGAGATATGTCTTGGAGAGAGTGCAGCTAAAGTGTTCTTTGGAGATAGGAATGATGAACTTCGCCTGACATACTTTGGGTATTTTGCTAGGAGGGGTTATTTCTTGGAGAAGGACATGATGCTGGGAAGTATGAAGGGTCAGCAGAGGAGAGGAAGACAGTCATCCAGGTGGACTGACATGGTGACTGCTGCAGTGGGCTCTTGTGTGTCAGGAAGTGTGAGGATGGCGCAGGGTAGACAGGGTTCAGATCTTTTGTTCACAGAGTTGTTATGAGTTGCACTCAACTCAATGGCACCTTAAGAACAACATTTCAAGATTTATGAAAATTAACTAATATATGTAAAACTCTTGGAGCAGCATCAGGCTTTGTATCTCAATAAATGTTAGCTATTATTATTTTTCTAATAATAATAACCAAGCACATTTGAATCGCTGTTGTAGAAATCCTGGTGCTTCAGCAGACTTTTTTTTCTTTCTAGTTTCTCTGGATATAGGTTTTGCTCTCTACAGAAGGTTCTTTGTCTCTGCAAGCGGGTCAGCGGTGAGTTCAGTTTGGTCTTTTTAAAGATAAAAATGTGTTTATTTGTCAATAGATTAAAAGTATCAACAATTAGAGCCACCCACCTCTCTGCATTTTGGACTCCCTGGGTGGTATAAACGATTGATGTGCTCGCTCCTAACAGAAAGGCTGGTGGTTAAAGTGCCCCACAGGCATTATGGAAGTAAAGCCTGGTGGCACACTTCTGAAACCCAGTCTTTGGAAGCCCCGAGGTGCACGGCTCTCTGACACACGCAGGGCTGCCATGTGCTGAAATCTACTCAGTGCCAACTTTTCACTTCTTTTTCTTAACTCTGCAAAATTATTTCTTTTGGGCAGCTACTGGAAAGTTAATTGCTAGGAAACCCAGAACTTTTGTTGTTGTTCTCACTTTATCATATCCCTGACACTGGGCTCTGCTTTTCCGTTTCTGCCATGATGGTAACTATTACAAAACAAGAAAGATTTTACTTTCTACGGAGAATAAGAGATTGAAAACTGGGATTAGGCTGGGCCCAAATAATTTTACAATAGAAAGAAAAGTGACAAAGATTTCTAGTTTGGCTGGAATTAATTTTTTAATTGGGTAGCTTCTGTGCAGTAGTTGTATGTATGCTTTGTTTGTGTTCTAATTCTGACGTTCCATTTATGTGGCATTAGATGACACTCCTAGGCATAGCCCTTGAGGAAACGGACATCTGTTTTCCTTATTATATTTTGAGTGAAAGTTTACAGAGCAAATTAGTTTTTCATTCAACAATTTATTCACATTTTGTTTTGTGACACTGGTTACAATCCCTCAACATGAAAGTACTCTTTTTATTTCCTCGTTGGGCTCCCTGCTTCCATCTGTCTTTCCTTCCTGCCTTCTGAATTTTGTTTTTGGATTAATGCTGACCATTTGGTCTCATATACTTGACTGCACTGAGTTCATTTCTCTCTAGTGTAATTATTACCTTTATAGATTTGTGTTGTTTGGCTGAAAGTTGATCCTGGGTGGGGGGTTCAAGTTCCAGGCTTGAAGGGTGTCTAAAGGCACAGTCTACAGGGTTCAAACCCCATTTTCATACTTGGCATTATATAGAACCATCCTAAATACAATGATGATCACAAAGAATGAAAAAGAACGGCTCTGTGCTATGTATTCAGAGAGTAGTTTAAGGTAACCTTTTTTTTTAAATATTTTTTTTTACTGGGAAAAACATATTGGGGGTACAAGAAGGTGAGGGTTGAGGGCAGAAGGGTGAGGATGGGCCAGGATGCAGTTGCAGAGCTGCACAGTTTGGCTGGTGGGGGGAGCAGGTGAAGGAAA